ACCACAGACCTGCCAGGGGCACCAGAGGTCTGCCAGGGGCTTTATCGGCTTCGCAGGGGAACCACCGGCCTCGCAAGGGCACCATGGGCCTGTCAAGGGCACCACAAGCCTGTCTTTGGCAATTTAGGATTGTCAGAGGCACCACAAACCTGTCAAGGGCACCTGCGTTCTAACAGGGGCACCACAAACCTGCCAAGGCCCAGGGACACCACAGGCCTAGCAAGGACACCACAGGCCTGTCAGGGGCACCACGGGCCTGTCAGGGCCCATGGGCACCTAAGTCATGTCAGGGCACACCGTAGGCTTGTCAGGGGGCAGGGTAGGTAGGTACCACAGTCTTTCCAGGGGCACCAGCGGCCTAGCAGGGGCACCAGTCATCACATGACTAACCAAAAAGAAAGAAAATAAAAAAAAACTGAAAATAGGGCACCACCTAAATTAAGTGGCCGAAATCCGTTGAGGTTTTAATTTGGGCATAGGTAGGGGCACCACTTCGATTCATGACCCTCCCCTTGGAGTTTTCCCGAATCCGCCCCTGGTACTAATACATCAAATTTAAGGGGGGGCACCTTGCTATTGGTGCCCCCCTTGCAGAATTCAAGGGGGGGCACGGTGCCCCGGTCCCCCCCGTTCCGCCGCCTATGGTCTCATCACTGATGTTTCTTTAGCACTTTCTTTAGGTAGAAGTCAGACTCAAAAGTTTCGTCACAGGACACAGTTTAAAGTCTGAGCGGCCACGAAAACTCATTTTTTCCAAGACCATCACCTTGGTTGGCTGCTATTCAGTGTCGGTGACAATCACGGATCTGTTTCTAGCTCAGACGCGGTCGTTTTGGCAGTTCGACGGGCAGTAGGTATGGTTCAAACGAAGACTTTTCCGAGAAAAGCAGCCGCTCCCAGTTGTGGACAGACAGTTGAGGAGAGGGTCGGTGAGATGCACCCATTCTGCGGCTGTGTCGCTGTCGCTTTGCTGTCAATCCGGACAGTCTGTGCAGTTTCGGCGGCTTCAGCTGCACGGTGCCGCTAATAGCGGTCCACGGTGGACTTGAAGGCCGGATGCTGCCTTGTTTGTTTGTTTCTTTATTGGGGGTTTATGGCGCGCCGACTACTAAGGTTATTTTGCACCCATAACGTCATGCTAGTAAAAAAATGTGTCAAAAGAGAGAACCGACTAGATAGAAGGTGATGCGCAACTTTCGCAACTAATGACATTCGCAACTTACCTCAGACTGCTGAAAGACCTGCAACAAGCAGAAGATTCGATGCTATGAAATTCACGGAATGTGTCTTGTCAATAAAACACGATGCCAGCTTTAAACACAGCATCGATGAAGATAAAAATGCAAGAAAAAGATCTCCAACTTCCGACCATAGCCAAAAGGTTCGCACATTTTTGCCGATCCCAGCCAAACGCTGGCACTTTTATCATCGATAGCGCAACGGCAGAAAACTCTTTTGTTTTCCGTTAATCTATGGTAGAGGTACTTTGTGAGAGAGAGTGTAAAATTAACATGCGCAGTGCGCAACGCTGGGGGTCCTGGATTTACACGCCCTGCTGCCTGCTGGGGGGGGGATGTGTCCCACTGCTAACTCGGCTCGTAAGCCACGTAGCGACGCGTGGTAGGCCGCGTTCAAAAGCGTCAAAATCATATAATTCAATTGGCAATTTTCTAGGTCAGATCAAAGACGTCACCGAGCCCAATTTTATGAAGGGCGTCAAAGATTATATCAGAGGTCATCAAAAGTCCAATTTCACCTATTTCGACGATTTCCGACAAACCAGCGCATAACTCAGAACGAATGGAGCTACAGCACCACAGAAAAACACATTTCATAGATTTGTGATGCCGTTCCCTCAGTATTGTTCTCAGTTTAAGTCAACATTTAACCCTCTAGAAGGCAAAACAGCCAAAATTAAAGGTTTAGGGCAAAACATTTTTCTGTAGTTAGGTACACTCGGGGGCAGATTGATGTTCCACCACTCCCTACCCATCGGGCTCCCATGGCTCCCGCACTGGCTGCTGCCAGTGTTGCCTGCCCTCAGCACTGCTCAGCACTGCCTGCCAGTGCCAGTGCTGCCAGTTCTGTCACTGGCAGCAGCCAGTGCTGAGCCATGGGAGCCCGATGCGTAGGGAGTGGTGGAACATCAATCTGCCCCCGAGTGTACTAGGCATTGAATCAAAGCTCGCATATTTATTTTACCAGCACCGTGCTCCTCTCATGGCGATGCGTCGAATGAATTATCATTTGACCTAAAAGGTCAACTTGAAAATTTGACTTAATACCCAGGTGACCGGAAATGATCATGTTATATATCAATTGATCCGTATCGCCCAGCTAAACACGCGCAAGGTAACTATTTTCATAGGTTTAGCATCTCTATCAGAAGTTATCGTCCAAAGATAGCTGGGTTCCTTTTTGTAGCAGCGCCGTAATTCTCGTGCCCAGGGCTGGTGCGCGGCCAGCTATTACCAGCTTTTAATCATAATTTTTTCTTCTTTTTTTCGCTGGTGCAGTTGTATTTCAGAACATCACTGAGTACTGAGCGAAGTGGGCAGCAGCCGAGGCCGGTGGTCTCCTCAAGGCCGATGGATAGTCACGTCGATGGATCGTCACGTCTGGCGTCGGCGACGGCCCGAGGTCTTCTGCCGGTGCCCTCAGTTGGGGCGATTCGAGCGGAACTAGTCTTTAATCCAGTTCCTACTGTAGGACAGTGGCCTGATACCCTTCGTGGCTGCTATTGGTACAATTGGTCAAAAGCTTTTTTATGTGCGGTGGACACTCGAGATTGGTTGACACCACATCACACCACATGGAAGGTTCTGGTAGATTCTAGATGTCACGCGTCAAATGAGCGCGCGGCATCACGAGCTGGTACCGTGGTGGTAGGTGCATCCAGCTACGCAGCATTAGACACGACCATACACGACTAAAGCATTAGACGACATTTAAAAGAATAGTGAGTGAGTTTCGGGGATAGGGTCCTAGGGCGCATGTGACAGAAGGCAGGCTAAACGCAGATGTGTGTAGATAGATAGTGCGCCGCCAAGTGACCAGCGCGACCAGTCATAAATAATGCATGGTGTGTCGACTGGCCGGCCGCGGGTCGAGGCGGCCCGGCTCGACGAGCTGACCGCGCAGCGGAGATACAGTAAACGCAACGAGCGTTGGTTGTAAGGAAGTGACATACAGCCACAAGCAGGTATAGTCAGAATATGAACTAATGAAAATCTAAACCATAAAAATATACAAAAATGTCGACGCAAAACAACATCGATAAACCAATAATGCAAAACAATACAAGCAATCAACCAATAATAAACACTTCACATTAACAGCTGAAATTTTCAAAAAATATCATTCAGTTGCTGTAGCGAAGACGAGGTTACAACTTTTTTCTGAGGCGAGGTCACTTAGCGTGACCTACTGACCTGGCCTTGAAAAACCTGGGCCTGAAATGTTCACAGTATAGTATGGGCAAAGCAAACGTCTCATAGGTATGTTAGTTTTCTATGTAGATAATTGTGGAGAGCCGCAAAGGGAAAGTGCTCAAACCCTCTCCGCAGGGCATGAGTTTAAGTTGTGACAAACTTATGGAAAGCTGAGGAACAACTACCCTGTACGGGTCCTCAGTCACGCCCCCCTCAACTTGGATCAAGGAGTACGAGCCTGCGCCAATTGACCGAAGAAGAAAATGCGATAAAGCTAATTATAAAGCGCACTCTTACAGGGCACATGCATGCGTTCCTTCAAATTTCATCATGGGTATTTAAGCAACGTATAGTCGACGGTGCATTGCAAACTGGCATTCCTGAGGAGGGGTATCGTTTCACAGGCCATTAAATGGTCCCTCCGGGCCTAAAAGTCAATACTGAGTCACTGACTCATCACAGTTGCTTTTTATCCTCGCATGATGTGGGTATTCCTTCAGTATTTAGTGCTGTTATGTGATGAAGTCGGCGAGGCCACTTTAAACCACACCCGAAGTGTTTTCATAGCGGTGCTAGAAAGTTGGACCAATCGGCATTCGAGAGCTCTTGTCATAATGGACCAAAGCACCACAATATGTTTAAAAGTCAGATCCAGGATAGTGTGGAAGAAGGCCAGAAGAGTAAAATCAGGGCCGGGGGCCCCTTAGTGAGATGATGGAGATTTCGGCATGCTTCCATCACATTCGATTGAGAGTTGGACGGGTTAACTGAAGGTATGTACGGTTTCGCTTAAAGCTAGCGGCGCTACCTGCCCCAGCCGCTGCAGAGGTTTGAGAGTCGCTGAATGTACTGACCCAGGCTTGAGCCGCTACCGCGGCTGGCAGAGCGAGAGGAGGTCAGGGAGGGATGGGAAGCGAGCCCCTAACTTGTGTCTAAGACGTTCAAGGCATTCTCGTGCCGTTTTCGATCATTTTACAGATCAAATAGTGACAGCAAGCTGGGAGTGAGGGTCAGGCTCTTGGAGCTGATGGCAAATGTATTTTACAAATTCCGAAGTCGGCATGGAAGAGCATTCTAGATGAGTAGAAAGGTCACACAAGCCTTGACGAAACCATTTTATCTGAAGTGATGGAAGAAAACAGACAGGGACTCCTCGTTATCTCAAGGGATGAGTGATTATCGTTAATGAGCAATGCAAATGAGAACTTATGTAAAACGACATCATTCAGTGTAATATCCAGTCTATCTCACATAGCAAGGAGCAACAGTGTCCCAAAATTGTATTTCAGTTTGTCAGAGGGGAGAGGGGAAATTCCTAATAAAAAAGGTGAACAGAGTGGAAAATCACCAGTTCGATAAGCCCCACAAAGAGGGAAAAAGGGATCAATGGCATAAATTCACGTAAAAGGACGGTAAAATGTAGGAACTAAAATGAATGTCCGAGCGAATGCTTTCTCTCAGTAAAATTCGGAGTGGAGAATGGCTCTCAAAAATTGGTGCGAGAGTAAAAAATACTTTTATTTGGATGTCATTCCCCACTTAAAGTAACACATTTTGGGACACTGAGGAGCAATGCCATTGGTGCCTTTTTACTTACCATCCAGGTCAGTGTCGACGAAGTTGAGAGTCACGAGATCCTGAAAAGGGACACAGATTATGGAAACTAAAACAACTTTTCCATTGCACAGAATACGCAAACACAGTAATCGGTCAATAACAAAAAGCTGCCCAAAGTAAAGCGAGGAGGGAACATCATTACATGCAGGGAACAGAAGCCCACCTAAATCACCCACATCCATATTACTTTACTCTACAAAGAGTACAAACCTGATCGGAGCCGGCGGGGCCGGGCGCTGAGGCGACTCGGTCCATCAGCTGGCGTTCCACGTCCGCCAGCTGCTGCTCCAGCGAGGCCTCCTCCATAGACGCTCCTCGGACGGACTCTAAGGATGGGCCCTGCTCCGGTCCATCCGTCTGATCGCAGGGTTCCGCGCCGCCCACTACCGACTGTCCAGTACTGGCAGACGGATTGCCGCAGTCGGATGCTGGGCCGAGTGGATCCGCACTGTCCTGTGGTCTGTCGGTCAAGTCCCCAGCACTGGCGGCCCTGCCCGCCGTTCCGTCAGGCGAAGCACGCGGTCTGTCGCACGGAGTTCCGCTCTCCGCCGTTTCGGACGCATCTGCACCATGTTTACCGGCCACTGTTCTGTCACACTCGTCAGCTGCGGTAGCTGGGTGCTCTGTCCTATTCGCTGCCTCTGCAGAGTCTGTTACCACCGTCGGCGCACTCGAGGAGCCCGCCGAGACCCCTGTTCTGTCACACCCACTCACACCCTGTCCTGCCGGCTCCACACTGTCGGCGGAGGCTGCACCTCCGGCCCCGGAGAGCACCCTCGCCACCCAGTCATCCAGCTCAGCGCGTGCGGCACCGATCGCCGCGGCGGCGCGCAGCCGCTCTCGGCTCTCGAGCAGCGCCGTGCAGGGGAGCGCAGAGCCGCCACGGGCTGGTGACATCGAGCCGGCGCAGCGGCAGCACCGCGGACGCCGCCGGCCGGCCGCCCGACAGGCGCAGGTCGAACAGCTCCTGCGGCGGCGGACCGCCGGCCGGCAGCGGGCAGCCGCAGACGGCGCAGCGCCGCTCCGGCCCCGGCTCCGGGTCTGTGTCACACTCTGGGGCGGCATCTGGCTGCGGCTCTGACACTGATTCCGGTCCAGAGTCCGGCTCCACCTTTAGTTCTAGTCCGGGTGATGGTGGTGGACTCTCCATGGAACCTGCCAGGAACAAAACTGAGATTCATTAGAGGGCTGGGGGCATGGATGGACATTTACCCTTTTGGCAAAAAAATGTAAAAAACTAAAATGATAGTAGGTAATTTATTGTTGCATTAGATATGTATATTGAAATTAGATGATCTACAAAAAAAAATATTATTTAATTATCATTTTTACACTATCTATCCCCTTCCTCAGACATTCCATTCTGTCTTATAGCCTTCAACTTTGTTTTTGTAAGACATGTAGATACTAATCAGTAGGTAATTGTAATCCTCTGCATGGAGGCCTATGGAATGCTTTCACATCACATCATCAAATTTTTTATTGCCTCTGGCACCACAGATCAAGGCCTTGAGTGCTAAGATCACCTTCTTGACTCTTGAGAGGCTCAAAAAATTATTAACCTATCTCCCTGAAACATCCCTGACTGCTAAAAGCTGAAGAACAATAAAAATGATAAAGAAATGATAAACAATTTGATAAGACACAAAAATGGAATCAGATAGGTACCCTTAAGTATTTAAGTCCATTTGTATGTCCCAGTCCCGTAGCTAAGTCGTTAGAGCGTTGGACACCACATGCATTCCCAGTTATAACACGCTGTGTTCAAAGCATGACGGGCATTTGACGTTCATGAGCCCACTGACGTCTGACAGATATGGTTGCGGTTGGTAGCAGTAGCCAGGCAAAGTCAGTGAGTGGACCAGCTGTGCGTGGCTATGTGCGCACATTGAACTTTGGACACCAAATTCTGCAATAAAAACAGAATTGCGCGATCGGAGGGAAGAGCGCAGAGTTAACGCTACAACCCACGCAGACCAGGCCGGAGCGTACCCCCCTGCGCACAAGGGACAAGGCCCCTGCGCAGACCTCAGTCCTCTCCTCAGGGACCAATACAGCTACCAACAATTAGCAATGACAAAGCAATGTGTAGAACACGTTTGTTGGTACACTTAACACTACAAAATATATGAATGAAATGGACAATTAAAAATTACCTAGGGTATAATTCAACACCACACCACATCGACGCCCCGCTCCAACCACGAACAACAACACAACACGCGTGGCGCGCCGCGAGGCCCAGCACCCGCGCCATTTCTGTAACACAATCAAGGCACCGAAAAACTGCACTTGTACAATTAGCCTGCGGATCTCTGACGTCATTTCAAGTGCTTCGCAAATGAGCTCTTTTTTCAGAAACGAAGACGTATTGTATGATTCTAAATGAAGAAAAATTATTTTGCTGATTATTTGAATAGTCTTAGGCATAATAATAAAATCAGACGAAAATATATAGTCTAAAGATGGCCTTGGAAAAAAGTTTCAGACGAATGAAGACCTACGATTGGTCACACGCATGCAAGCCAGTGACATCATAGCAAGATATTTTTATTTTATATTTTATCTATGTAGCTTTTATGCACTGAAAATTTCAGCAAACTTAAATATTCAATTCCTTCATTGTCATGATTATAAGGATTCCATGACGGTTTTTCGTCCAGCAGATTTTCGTCGGACAATTTTTCGTCCGCAGATTTTCGTCCGACTTTTTTTCGTCTCGCATTTTTTCGTCTGTACATTTTTTCGTCTGTGCATTTTTTCGTCTGTTCATTTTTTCGTCTGTACATTTTTTCGTCCGGACATTTTTTCGTTCGTATATTTTTTCGTCCGTGCGTTTTTTTCGTCCGGACATTTTTTCGTCTACAATTTTAACCTAACCTAACCTAACCTAACCTAACCTAACCTAACCTTACATAACCTAACCTAACCTAACCTAACCTAACCTAACCTAACCTAACCTAACCTTACCTAACCTTACCTACTGATGTTTGCCTACCGGGGGATAAGGAAAAAGTTACTTGCATGAATAGATTGCAAGCAATGGTAAGTCAAATATTTTTAGGTTAAGTGGTTGTGCATCAGGCTTCAGGCCTTCGGCCTGAAGCCAGATACACAACCACTTAACCTAAAAATATTTGACTTACCATTGCCTGTAATCTCTCCTAAGGCATTGCCTTCGGCACTGCACTGCTTCGCCCCGAGTATTATTATGACGTCATTTGCCTCACAGTTGAATAGCATTGTATTATGTTTTCACTCAACCTGGGTGCACAGACGTAAAATTTATTGAACGAAAAAATGTCCGGACGAAAATATGTACAGACGAAAAATATACGAACGAAAAAATGTCCGGACGAAAAAATGTACAGACGAAAAAATGTACAGACGAAAAAATGCACAGACGAAAAAATGTACAGACGAAAAAATGCGAGACGAAAAAAAGTCGGACGAATATCTGCGGACGAAAAACTGTCCGACGAAAAAATGTCAGACGAAATTTTGTCCGGACACGATTATAAGAAACATACATAGTGTCATACATAGTGTCTGTCATAGTGTTTTTATATACCTTGATAAGAAATAAATTGCCCATAAGATAAATTGAGTTCGCTATCACAATAAATTGAAAACTAGATCTGCGGGAGGTGAGTGTTTCGGAGTTTGGCGTTTTTAACGGATATCTTTGCATCATAACGTGATTATAACTTTTTGTTGTCAATAGGGATTTTGCTTAGGGCCTGCTCCAGTATCATTGGTATCAGTGTGTATCCACTATCCAGCATTATTAGTATCAGTGTGGGTACTAGCTCGTTAGGAACTCGTTTGGGTCGCCCTGGATAGAAATAATCGACTTCTCTTTTCTCTGGGTAAGATTAAGCATTTCAAAAGCAATGAACTTATAACATCATTTTATGAAATTATTTTAAGTAGGGAAAAAATTGGAATTATTTGGAATTATTATTGTTTTTTGTGCATTGTAAGTTTTCTGCATCTCCTCACACCTCAGTGCCTTTGTATTTATGAATTCCCTACATGACATTATCGGTATCGGTAACCCTGGCGTCACCGGTAGCTTTTTCGTTCAAGGCTAAGGTTTCCTGTATCAGGCCGCCGTGCCAGGCCCCGCCGAAGCATGCTGTGACGTCACTGGGTAAGAGAAGATAACGTAAAGAACGACTCAGGCAGACTCAGATTGACTCAGGCAGACTCAAACTGACTTGACCGACTCAAACCGATTCAGATCTATACAGACTGACTCAAACTAACTCAGACTGACTCAACCGACTCTGACTGATACAGATTGACTCAGACCGACTCAGATAGACTCAAACTGACCCAGAACGACTCAACCTACTCAAATCGTTCCGATCGACTCAGACAGACTCAGAACGACTCAGACAGACTCAGGCAGACTCAGACCAACTCAGATAGACTCAGAACGACTCAAACTGACTCAGACTAACTCAACCGACTCAAATCGATTCCGATCGATTCAGACAGACTCAGAACGACTCAGACAGACTCAGGCTGACTGAAACCGGCTCAGGCAGACTCAAACCGACTCAGGCAGACTCAGACCGATTCAGATCGACTCAGATAGACTCAGAACGACTCAAACTGTCTCAGACCGATTCAACCGACTCAAATCGATTCCGATCGACTCAGACAAACTCAGAACGACTCAGACAGCCTCAGACAGACTCAAGCCGACTCAGGCACACTCAAACTGACTCGACCTCAAACCGATTCAGGTCTGATGATTCAGGTCAAACCGATGGGTCTGTCTAAATCGGTTTGAGTCGGTTGAGTCGGTTTGGGTCTGCCTGAGTCTGTCTGAGTTGTTCTGAGTCTGTCTGAGTCGATCAAAATCGATTTGAGTCGGTTGAGTCGATCTGAGTCAGTTTGAGTCGTTCTGAATCTATCTGAGTCGGTGTGAGTCGATCTGAATCGGTTTGAGTCGGTCGAGTCAGTTTGAGTCTGCCTGAGTCGGTTTGAGTCGTTCTGAGTCTTTCTAAGTCGATCGGAATCGATTTGAGTCGATCTGAATCGGTCTGAGTCTGCCTGAGTCGGTTTGAGTCTGCCTGAGTCTCTCTGAGTCGTTCTGAGTCTGTCTGAACTCTGAGTCGATCGGAATCGATTTGAGTCGATCGGAATCGATTTGAGTCGGTTGAGTCGGTCTGAGTTAGTTTGAGTCGGTCTGAGTCGACCTGAATCTGAAAGCGTGGTAAGTTATCTTCTCTTCCAGTGACGTCACAGCATGCTTCGGCCTGGCACGGCGGCCTGATACAGGAAACCTTAGCCTTGAACGAAAAAGCTACCGGTGACGCCAGGGTTACCGATACCACATTATCTCCAACTCAAAAGCAACTTTATTGCTGGTTGTGTGTATTCTCGATGTTAGGTTTGCTTGTCATTGCCATAGGTATCGTAAAAACATGCATTTAGCATGGTGTCATCTTTCGGGTACATATGAGACCCTTTCGGTACAATCCACGTTTGTATAAAATGTAATGCTAGGCATTGTTTCGTTCTATAGCATAGTCATGACATTTTTCAGCGCAGCAAGACAAGTGTCTGGTGCTCCTGAAAACGCAGCCATGGCGGAAAACTCTGTGGCGAGTCCTGCCTCACTGAGCACCGTCGCCGAAACAAATACATCGACCGAGAAAACAGGGCAGGAAGTGGCACCGGCAGCAGAGGTCACAGAGGCGGTGCCGACAACTGAAACTGATCTGTTTGGGAACGGAGCGTGCAAGGCCAGTGAACTCAGTGCTCAGAATGATGCAGCTCAGTGTGATATGGACTCAGGAAAGGCCGACTCTGCAGATGGGAGTCCGACTGAGGGCTCGGCTACTCAGACTGACTCTGCCGGTGGCGAGCAGCAGCTCTCGAAGAACCAGCTCCGCAAGCTACGCTACCGCGAGCGACAGGTGGCGGCGCGGCGCGCGCGGCGCTCCGAGGAGAAGCGCCGCCGCCGGGAGCGGGACGCGGCTGCGCAGTCCGCCGCCGCTGCCGCCGGTCAGATGATCTCCAAACGGGACCGGCGGCGCGCCGAGCTGGACCGGCTGCGCGCCGCGCGCCAGGACGGCCTGCCCGTGTGTGTGGACCTCCAGTACGGAGACAGGATGACGGAGAAGGAGCAGTCGCGGCTGGCCACCCAGCTGGGCCGGCTGTACGGCGCTAACCGGTCGGCGGCGCGCCCGCTGCGCCTGCTCCTCACCAGTCTGGCTGAGGACGGGCCGCTGCACCAGCGCTGCCGACGACTCGTCGACGGCTTCGACCGGCTGGAGCTGGAGCGGTGCGCCGAGCCGCCGCACCGGCTGTTCGCCGCCGAGCGGCTGGTGTACCTCTCACCGGACGGTGAGACAGAGCTGAAGCGGCTGGACGAACAGGCCGTGTATGTGATCGGAGGATTGGTCGACGAGACGGTGCAGAGCGGAGTGACCCGCGCGGCCGCCGCCGCCGCCGGAGTCCGCACCGCCCGACTGCCGACGGCCGCCTACCTGCAGCACGAGGCCGGCACGCGAGCCTGTGTGCTCACTGTGAACCAGGTGTTCGAAATTCTGCTGCGCTTCCGGGAGACGGGTGACTGGACGGCCGCCCTCACCGCCGCCGTCCCCGCCAGGAAAGGATTCACGCCGAAAAGGTGAGCAGCGTCACAACTGGTCCATCGCCAGCGTACTTCCCAGCCACCGCCACCCTGTGTTCCGTGTGTATGTGTATCATCATATATTCCCCTAACTCTGCGTCGTCTTTTTCCGCAGTGACGATGCTGCTGCGAAAGGTGACTCGACTGCGGCTGCCAACCCGCCACCTGTTGGCGCAGAGTAGACACTGCAGTACGGGCGGCGGCCGCCAGGGGGCGGAGGTGGACCTGTCTGAGGTGCGGCAACTGCTGGCTCGTCACGGTGGTGGCTCCGTGGAGCTCAGCATGGACGACGGTACTGGACTGGCCTCCCTCCGGCTGAACCACGTCGAAAAGAAGAACGCCCTTAGTGGTGAGTCGGCGAACAGGAGAACAATCATGATTATAAGATGTTTGCCAGCTCGATTGTTTGGTGGTCAAATAGACGTTTTTATATAGATTGGCTCTGTCTTTGTATTATCTGTATGACAGATAAAGTTCACGTACTCTTTATGTTTCGTAACCCCGCTAGCTCATTCTATAAGTATTGGATATTTGCACGTCTGTGCCCCGTCTTTCCTTTTGGACGAAATGAAAGAAAATGAATGCCCAGAC